GCCGGGCGGGGGAGAGCGCTGGCGGGGCAGGGTAGATCGGGCACAGGGATCGCGTGTGCGGGCAGGAAGGTGTAAAGGTTGGCAGCGTGACGCCAAAAGGGGCGATACGGAGACGTGGAGTGTTTGGGGTGCGTGAACACCTCCCTGGAATGAGGCAGCGGGAGTAAGAAGGGGAAATTAAGAGGGAGGAAGGATGAGTAGGGAGGGTCCTTCGGGGTACGCAGGGTGCCAGGGAGAGCCAGCACGACGCGTCAGCTCCCAGTGTGTCTCAGGACCTTCAAGATGCCGGTCCTCCCACCCAAATGCTTGGCCAGCCCCTTCCTGGGAGGAAGCCCCTTTCAAGAAGTCGCGATGTCGCTGCTCAGTGTGCCACTAAAGCCGGGTGGCTGGCAAAGCGACACTGATTTCGTGCTGCCGAGTTCTGAGCAGCTTCTCCGGCCGCAACACGGAGTCCCGCCGCGAGGCGGCTCCCGCCGCAGGATTTCCAGAGCATCTCCCCTCCTGCGGGATCACCACTGCCACCACTATCCCAGCAGGTGTCTTCCCCGACAAACCGCAGAAATCTCGGTTTAATAAGCCCTCCTACTCTCTCCATCTCCCGGGTTGCTCCCTGGTACTTTTTTCATCAGGTAAACTCGGGGAAATCACGCTCTGCGACCTGCGGTGCAGGCTCACCGGGGTGGGAACGGATCCCATTCCCGAGCAGCAACAGCCTGGCAGTGCCTGGTCGAAAACCTGCCTTGGGTTGTTGTTGATGTCATCAACAACTCGTGCTACGTCTGGTTTTCCGACTTTCCACGCGCGCATAAGGATAAAATGACCGAAATTACGGTATTCGTTGTCTGTCACCCACAGAACTGCTCGGCTGTCACGGGTAATGAAAAGGGGACGAGGAAGCTCGATAACGGAGCGCCAGGAACCCTGTGAAAACCCAGCTGTGACACAGCGCCCAGGTGTCATCCCACAGCCCACACTGGTAAGGAAGGGACGGCGACATCCAGCAAAAACTGGACTGGAAATCAGCGCTCACGCGTTCATTCACTTACGGAGGCTCTCAAAGCCTCGCAGAACTGGCTCGAAAACTTGCGGGTTATTTGTTAACCCTCTAATTGAGCTCGTAGGGGTTGCAAACCCCCCACACCAGCGCTGGACAGCGACATTCGCCAGAGCCGAGAGGATCTCGACCTCTGCGTGTCCTTGCCCCGCACAATCCTAAAAACTGCCGTGAGCACATGGGAACCTGAGATGCATTTCTGCGCTTAGAGTCAGCGATATCGAACGAGTCGGCGCAATCTGTCCTACCTGCATGCTCAGCTATTTCATTTTCTCCTGATTCATTGTTGCCATAAGATAAACTTTATCAGCGCTATTTATCACTCATCACCTGTCCACAGAATGTGATAAAAGTTCACATAGCGTTCACATGTGATAGGGTTACACACAAATAAAATCCAATATTAATCATCTAACGTTCCCAAAGCACTTCTTTTCTCATAGAAAACCAAGCCCAAATTTTCTTTCTTTCTTACGTATTATCGAAAACCAAGACAATCCACAGTTCTCTTCAACCCAAATCTTGAAATAGTCTTATTGAAAGCTACTTATTTCTCTGAAATAAACTCCTTTTTCCAACCACTGTAAGCTCTGAATTCTTTTTCCCGTCACTGCCCATTTCAGGTTTTTCCTAGACGCCATTTACCAGACAATTTCTGGAACGTGAGGACCGCAGCTCTCGAGTAACTTCCCTACCTGTGAGTGCACACACCACCCGTACCAGAGCACCTTGGCCGTTTAATGGCAGCAGTAGCGGGATGGCCAAGCAGCAGAGAGATGAGTAGAAAAGAGATCTCGGGAAAGGCACGGAAGACAGAACAGTTCCATCTATCGTGTTTCGATTAATGTGGAGACATTACGTCTCCTCTACCTCGATGGGAAGCCTGAATATTACAGACGAGTGGAAAAGCACAACAGCTAAGGGGGAAGACACCTTCCCCTGCACCAGGAATTCCTTCGGGGACGGTTTCAAGCCAAATCCCAGCCTGAACCGCGCTCTTGGGCATTTTTCTCGACTCCACTGAGGTTCCACAGAAGCCGGTGGCAGCAGGGAACAAAAAGCTCCTTCTGCTCGATGCCAGACTTGGAGTTACACTGAACCATCAACTCCAGCCCTACAGACTGAGGGGAGAAGTTGAGTTACGTGTGTAGACAAAACCTTCTTTTGAAGGGGATCAGAGTGCTAAAGAATCGAGGTTGCCAGAAAAGGAGAGAGGAAAAGCGTGCCTGCCCCCACTGAGTAAACACGCCGGGGTAGTTCACACATCATTATCACATGAAAGCCCCCAAATATGGCTGAGACAATAAGACCTAGAGACCTTGATCTCTAGACCAAGCCGAAAGGGTTGTCTCAGCTTCAGACTCCAGGACACTTTTGTTCCCACTCTACCCGAGTCCACCTCACCACTCCAGTTCGGTGAAACTAGCGTCTGTCTCTCCTTCTTCAGGACAGACAGAAATACTGACCACATTGGCGTCGCTCCTCGGGGAAAATTAGCAATTTGCGGATAAGAACTGGCAGGTCAAAAGGATGAGTCAAGATCTGACACATACACCCAATCGCTCACATTCCCACGGCCCTGAGCTACTGAGCAGTGCGCCGGCATGTTCAGATCTGCCGGTTCCCACTGATCACCGACGGCAGAACAGAGGAGAAAAAGATTAACAGAAACTCACAGAGAGAAACCGTAGGACAGAAGCTCACCTGTGCCGAGCTCCCGGGGCTAGGAGGGTCCTTCCCAGAAGGAGTGCCTGAGCCGGGATCAGCGGACAGGAGACGGGCAGACAAGGCTGCCGCTCCTGGCCTCAGGAACGTGAAGTCCTTCTGCCCCGACTCGGAGGCTAAACATACCTCGTAGGAATAGGGCAAGGGCAGCGTGCTGCTGCAGTAGTTGTATGGTGCCTTTGAGCCCAAGGTGGAATACAGTTCCTTATCAGAAGTTATAAAAATGGGAGGGCTCCTCGACTGTCGACATTTAAAGAAGAAAAAAAAACCGACCGTGGAAACAAATAATAAGGACACGACGGAGAGCGACACAACAAGAATGAGGTTCAGATCAGAAGTCAGCTCGGACACAGCATCTCTGTCTGTGAGCTCCGGCAGCGCCTCCTGCAAGCTCTCGGCCAGCACCACGTGCAGCGTGGCCGTGGCCGACAGCGCCGGCTGCCCGTGGTCCTTCACCACGGCCACCACACGCTGCTTGGCCGCGTCCCGCTCGGACACGGCGCGCGCCGTGCGCACCTCGCCGCTGTGCAGCCCCACGCGGAACAGCGCCGGCTCCGACGCCTGCACCAGCTCGTACGACAGCCACGCGTTGCGCCCCGCGTCCGCGTCCACCGCCACCACCTTGGCCACCAGGTAGCCGGCCTCGGCCGAGCGCGGCACCACCTCGAACGGAGACGACGGCCCTCCCGCCGCCGCCTCTCCCGTTGCCGC